AAATTACTAACTAGGTTAATAAAGCTTGATTTTCCTGATATCTCCCCCTTTTTCTTATTGTAGGACTTGTAATTTAACAGAGAAATTGTCTCAAGAAAGTATTTGGTTAAAACAAGAAATATGACCTTTCTTACCACCTTCCTGACTTTTCAGGAAGAATAAAGAACTGTTATTTTTCTTTCTGTGGACCTTATTCAGAACACTCTGCAGCACTGGTATAAGAGTTATTGTTTTTCTTCCTACTTGCCATTTTGTAATAAAAGATGCTCTTAGCATTCTGTTCTTAAGTAGATGGTAGCTTTGGTAAATAAGCCAGGCTATTTACTTATGTTGGAATTGCAAATGTGGTGCTCAGGATGTTATTAAAATATTGATATCACCCAACACAACCATAAACATATAAATTCTCATCTGTCTACAAATTTAAAACTTTAGCTGAAGTTCCTGGCTTAGTAAAAAATATTCTAACTTCCGTAATTTGTCTACTTAGAATTCAAAGAGTACTACAAACATAATATAACTCAGAATAAACATTTTGGTAACATGAATTAAGCACAAGGCTATTCCACAACTTCCTTTTTACCTTGGGAAACTTGAACTGACTCTTCCACACATCAGAAAGGTATATTTTCTTTTGAGGAGGCAGATGTGAGACAGATAATATCTTATATATGTGAGAATTCACGATTCTGTCAAAATAAAAGTATGTCTGACTATAATTTTGAAAATGTGCCTTAAAGTCTTTGCTTACTATAAACTGTCATTGCTCTTATGAACTGAAAATGAATCAGAAACTGATTTTTTTTTTGGGGGGGGGGGGAAGATCGGGGATGGGGAGGAGTAATTGAAGCTACTAAGATTTCAAAAAGCTATTAAAATGCCACAGAAACTCAGAATATAGACCCTATAACTACATAAGCATTGGGACACCATCAATTTTTATTGCTAGAAAATCTAGCCTTGAATTAAGAATGAGCCTCTTTTCCTTCAAAGAACATATTTAACCTGTTTTTTCCTTGTGCTTTCTCTACTCCTTGCTGCTTGATACTCTTAGAAATGCAAATACAAACTTAGAAACTTCACCTACCTAACTATAATCAGGAGATACAATTTTAAAATGGAACACAATATGCTTGCCTATGTTCCAGTTTTACTGTGCCACACCCTCAATTCTATAATTCAATCAAGTGATATGAGTCTTAGATTTTTCAACTTTCCCCTTTTTTCTCTATGATTTAATATATAACTTTAAGATACCAAAGAACAAGACAAATAAGAAATGGAGCTTTGTATTTCTGCCAATGACAACACTAAAACACAGTGGCTTCTTTAATACATTCACACAGGATGCTTATTAGTAAAAGTAAATCTCTGCCTATGAGTATCAGAAAAGTAATATGAAAAGAAAAAGCTTAGAACAAGGCAAATGGGAGGAGGGGAAAAGCTGGTCTCAGAACCCATTGTGCCATACCTGACTTTAACATGTGATATTCAAATGTTCACACGCCTTACATCAAAGAAATGAAACAAAAATATTCAGCTACATTGTACAAAAATTTTTTTTTCTTTACACAAAACATCATAAATCTTGAACAGATTTACTGTATCTGAATTCTAAAAAGTTGCCTATAGAATGGTGCTGGGATTCTGTTCTCTGCTTGCTTTTAGGCAGTGCTGTTGCTAAAAAGTTGACACCAGGCACAATATTTAAAAACAAAGTCAACAAGCAAGGAGCAGTAAGTGGATTTGAGCCTTTCCCAGATGTCAGTCCTGAGGATGCTGCAGTATTCTCCATCAAAATGTGTAAAGCTATGAGGCGGATACTGATGCCTGAGAGAGTGGGTGACATGACATGCACTTGGATGAGAGTTGTAATGACAAACAGTGCAGTTTTCTCTTCCGCAAACAACACTGTTTGTAATAAATTTAAAGAACACTCCAGTTCTTAAACAAATATTTGAAATAATATTTAACAATTAA